GACGGGAGCAAGATACGCGATCCGGTGGAAGAATTCATCGGTAGATCGAGCGTAACGAGCACACCAGTTTAGGGGTGGTGATCGTTTTCGGGTGTAGATCTGGCCATAGGGGACGAAGGGACGAGAAGAGTGAAACGAGACAGTGCACAGCTAGGCCAACACTGTATGTGGGCTAACGGTGCAGGGGACGATTGTGGCGAAGCGAAGGAGTGAATGTGGCAAAGTGTGATCGCATATCTTCGGTTAGTTTTCGGTTAGTTCGAAATGGCTAATATTGAAGAATCGCGATCCCGCAGAAGAAGTTTCGAGACGATTGCAAATGGGATGGAATATAGTGAATGGTGGAGTTCTTAGTTCTATGTGCAGTTAACTATGGCCTAGAAACTACGCAATTGCGATCTCCGGTATTGTTCGACGGCGATCCGCGTAAACGCGATCGCTAAGAAGGAGGAGTAGTAATCTCAAGTATGTGGAAGACGGTCTGGTGTGGATCACGTCGCTATGGAAGACTGGAAGGAGGCGGACATCACATGTCATATAGATGGACCACTCACATGACCCGAGAAACGGTGGAGAGGACAAGTCGTGATCCGGCGGATCGGTATCCGATACTAATTATTAAAAACCGCGATCCGATATTAATTATTAGTACCGCGATCCGATACTAATTATTAGTACCGCGATCTGATACAAAAATGGTATTAGATCTGATCGAGGTAGCGATCCAGGTCGCGGCGATATTAGAGTGGACCACATTACAAGATCTGATTTTTCCGAAAGGGCGATACGTGGCAACAGATCCTGAGCTACAGATATTCAAGATCATAGGTTTTTCTATTTGATTGGTTAACATTAAACAGCGTTCAATTTGCTTCTAAGTACACGTGTCGACTTCTCTATTCCGGGCAGGATATTTGGCCTCCCGACGCCGAGAATATCGACTACAAGTGCACCCTGGATTGTTTTGGCTAGGTGAAGGAACTCTCAACACAACAACTCAACTGCGATCGGACGCAGAAACAACAAGTAAGGGCAAGGCGAGGCAAGTGCAGGACGGATCAAGTGTTCAGAAGGTTCTGCTCAAGTAGTCAGAAGATTGAAGCTTCGCCTTAATGGACTATTAAGATCTATTGAAAAAAACAGCAAACAAAAACTCGTTCGATCTTGTGAAGGTTTTGACAAGATAACTAAACCCCCTTCCCTAACCCAATTAGGATCAACATCGACTCAAGTCCACCGAGAAGAGAGCAACCCGCCCTCTCGACGGGTACACAAGGTGAGGAAGGCTATATACACGGAATCAGGGTACCCCCTCCGTTATTCGGTCGTCCGGGCGCCAGTGGAGAGTTGAAATCGCATCAGCAATTTTAAGAATCCCACTCCTCCACATCATCCTACATGCTGCATTTACACTCGCTTTACTGAGTAAGTTTCCCTCGGGACGCGGCTTTCAAAAGGTTTAATAAGGCTTCAACTTTGTGTGCAAAACATCACATCTAGGTGGTTACCGCGGAGAAAGGTATTGTCAAGAAGGCTTCGACATTCCTCGATCCTGATGTCAACTACTGGCTGGAGACCTCTCAAGCCGAACACCACGAGCCCCAGGGACCCGCGATGACGCCACGAAGCCTGATCATCTCGAGACAAGACTCTGCGCGACGACGATCGGCTCTCCGAGGACTATTTATACCTACTACTTAAAGTTGAAGTCGCCACGGTACCTCTGTTACCTGTCGACAGGATATAATGGGTCGTACGCGTACTTAAATATACCTCACCTTCTCTCTCTACTGTTCTTTAATACTTTTTAGTCATAAACACATTATGCTCAATCACCATTTGGTCTTGTTTAATTATCTGCATACGACTTGATCCGCACAAAATACAAATTAAAATACAATTAAGTGTGTATGCAAACTAACTGCTTTGGGGTCAGGCCATACAAATACTTTTATTGAAGGGAAAATAGTACTGCTATAATCAAACGAAAGAATGAAATGTTTCAGCAACCACCAAACTTTATTGTGTCTATCAAATACAAGTAGAAGTGGAACGAATGGATATAGTTTAAGAAAAGAGTTCGAGTGGCTGATGTATGTAGCTACAGAAGTATTTATATATCTTGTTGTAGACAGGCGCTTTTACGAAGTTGCCTCGTACTACTAGCACACACCTTATGCACAAGCGAGGAAGCGGTTAGACCGTCTTACCTTCGCGTGCGAGGGTGGTTAGGAGGTTGGTCGACTGCTTAAGCAGTCGTACCACCAGTTGCCTCTCGCTTAAGCGAGAGTGCAACGAACTTCTAAGACAAGAAGACACCGACGTCACGTAGAAGCTTTTCGGCTTCTCGTGCGTGGTGCTTTTGATTTAGCAAATCCAAGACTGAGCTATATTTAATTAATTATAACTAAATATATACATAACTACTGATTGGCTATATATATATGTATATATAGATCGGATACGCGACTCTTTAGAAGCGTATCCTGTCGCATGATCTTAAATCTAGATTTAAGATCGCAACTGACGTCCTTTTGAGACGTCGTGATGCCTAGCTTCAACTAGCGTCATCCCTTCTCATGTGAATCCATCAATGGATATCACATTCACGAGGGTGGATCACATTTGTGTATCGCACCGAAGTGACAGGTCAAAAGTAATCATGGATACTTTTAGAAAACATACGTGTAACTAGATGCCCTGAACACTTGTTGTGAATTCACATGGCCTAAAGTATCTGATACTACAGATGACTGAAGTATCTAATACTGCAGATGCCGAGGAAGAGGATTGATTGTCCGTTGCAGTGAAGATATTCGGCATCTAGTGTCAAACCGTCCATATGAATCATTTTTCATTGATTTTATAATACTGATTAACCTCTTGCCGATCCCATCTTGTCAGGCGCCAAGCTTATACTGCGCATCGTCGGCTTGTCCGCTCTCGCAGCCGCTGGATCGTCTTTATGGTCCTATTGGCCGAGGCGCTTATCTGGGCCACCCTCATCACGATCACCGTGCTTAACATCGTGACTGCCGTCTTTTTCGCGAAGAAGGCGCGTAACAGCGACTCAGACTTGTACTGAAAGCCGTGGTGGTTTTCGGACTCTTTGTGCTGCTCACCACTCTGTACGTGCGCTGCATCCGCAAGATAATTGAGCTCGCTGCCGCCCTCAAGGTGACAGTCAAGATCATTTTCCGTCTGCCAAGACGTTGCAGGTGGCTCACGATGATCATGTACAGATCAGGTGGGGCATCTTGTGGGTGCTGAAGTGATTTTTTCGTACCATGTTCCACCAGGAATACATTCAGTTATCCTGGTGGAACATGGTACGAGCACGTGCACGACGGACGGTTGCAACATCAAGTACAAGGCCGGCGCGATTATCGCTATGCGGCATGCGGCTCATCGACTTCTGGGTCTCGTGTTAGAAGCAACATCATCGGCGTGTCACGACGGCTGGGACTTTCGCCGTATGGAAAAACGCGGCCATCACGCCGTTCGTCACGGTGAAGGCGTGGCTACGTGCATTGACGCTTAACCTCGGCAGCATCTTCTTCGGATCGCTCAGTGTGGCGATATTATAGATGTTCGAGTGAATCCTGCACCATGACGTGGTTAGCTGTTCGCAGTGGCAACTGCTGTCTGGCGTGTCTACTCTCGTGTCTTTCGTGCATCATGTCCTACATCGAAATAGTCTTTCAGCAACTCTGCTTTCTCGTACGTAGGAAGCTATGGCTACAGCTTCGTGACGGTAAGTCGTTATGTATTCGAGCTGTTTGCCCTGTTGCCGCTAAGGGATAAAGCACCATTGTGAACGACGACCTCACGGGCAACATCTTCTGGTTGGGCGATATTATCATTGGCACCGTGACCGTCTACATTGGTGTGCTGTATGTGGACGACACCCACATGCAGCACACCAATATAGGCAGTCACGTAATTGGAATGGCAAGCAATGTTTTTGCTCACGTGTTTGTGGTCTTCTTATTCATGTCGGTCGTGGCTAGTTCTGTTTCCACTATCTTCGTGCTCTGAGCCGAAGACCCGCACAGGTGGCAACTCACTCGTCATCAACACTACAAAACGCTGCATGAGGATCTAACCGGACGAGAATAACAACGGACGCGACAAAAAAAGGTTGATGCTGGTGTCTAGATTCCATTATTTAACAATTTAATGTCATCGCTCTTCAGTTGTACAATGAAGTGGTCTATTCGTACTATTTGTAATTCTGGACAAAAAGGTGCGTCGAAAATGAAATAAATTATTGAAGTATACCTAGCCGTCGAGACTTAAAGACCGAGCAGCCTGGAATCGTCGACTGTGTGCGATTTTGACGCCAACGTTGAATGCTACTGGAAGACAATTGGCCCAAGTTCGCTGCAATTAGCAAACTCTGGAAGCATTCGGACGTTTGTTATCAAATACAACCGAGCGAGCGTACGTGAGCTGACAAACTGATGCAAAATCACAGTCGACAGAAGTGTGCATTCTCAATGTGTCATAACGCCAGCGCGTTGCACAAACTGGAGTAACTCCAGCGCCTCTCACGTATTGGCAAAGCAGACTACGTGCTGCTTCTGGCTTCTGGGCCGTGATGTCGGTAGAATGAGCATAGCCGCCATCGACTGTGATGATGTTGTGGATGATGCGGAACAATAATGTCCGGATTCTTGAGAAGGTTAATCCCGAGTCCTACGCTCGCTTTGTATAAATTGTAGTTCCACGAGAGCTGAATAAGGCGTCGACAGTGGTAGTGACGGCTTGAAGCGCACAAGGCTATCGTTTCTTGCTGATCAAGAAGCCAAACCATAACTCGTATTAGTGTCTTTCACATTAAAAACAATTCTTGTTCTGTCTCCAACTGACTAAGAAAGACCAAAAAAATGAAAAAGAAGCCAAACCATAGAATCTCCATCTCGTATTAGTCTGTCACATTATAATAATTTCCTGTTCTTTCTCATTTGGAGAAAAAACATCACATCAAGATAACGAAGATGGTCGATTAGAAGAAAGAACAGCAGAAGAGTCTTGCGCAACTCGTGCGCGACTTGGAAACGAAGAAAACTTTGTGCAACGTCAAGGACTATCCTGGAGTGGAGCTGAAGAAGTTGAATAATTACGTGAAGAAACTCGGTCCGCTCCTGAACCCCGTTTTCGGTGAGCAACCAGCGTTTTTCATCGACGAAGGCCGCTTTATTCCGTATCGAATGGCCACGTACGGCATGGAGATATTGGTCGCCAAGATCATAAGAATCTTGGATGAATGGACGACGTGGTCACGAATAGGAGGCAGAGTTACATCTTCGCAAGGAGCCTTCATTTTTAACACTGACGTTCGAATGCCGGACGTCGCGTACACGCCTCCTGGTACCCATAGAGATTTATCGAATGGGTCAACGTGGACGTATCATGGTGAGCCATTCGTTCCTACGGTCGTTATTGAGATTGATAAGCTTTCTGGACAAGGCTCCCAGCGCAGCGCTCTCGATCGCAAGATGAGAAATGAATATTTCCAGCATGGCGTCCGTTTGGGTTGGCTGATCGACCCACGCCCAGACTGTCAGCGTATGTACGAGTATTACCTCTACAATAATGGAGGCGTGCAATGCTCTGACAACACTGCGTGGCGAGATCTTAGCGGCGGCAATGTTCTTCCTGGCTTCACGCTCATGAGCACGGTTTTGGAGATGGTTTGAATCAGAATTCAGGATCGTCGTCAGAAGAAGAAGTTGATTTGGAGTGTCCATATCCAACATGCATAGAACGCTTCAGATATCCTGGTGCTATCACCGCCCACGTTGAATGGCATCGTGTCGAACGTGTTTGTCAAAAGTATCGAGCGAATCGAATGTAAATACTACTGTTTGCGCTCCCTATTTATCTGATATAGCAGAGCCTCGACTGAACCAGCTCCGCCGTGTAATTCGCCACAGTGGCCTCATTACGTTGTTGCTTACTTACGATGTAATCGCTCTGTGCATGATGCATCACGCATCATTTTGCTTCTGCGTCAGATTCTATTCCATTGCAACGGTGATCTGTTCATGTTAGTTTTTCCAATACAAGCTCATCACTACAAAATCTGTTTGTATCAAAATTGTTTTGCCAAACCGATCATCTACTCCCCAAGCTAAAAATCCACAGCAGAAGTTGTTACGAGAGATTCAAACTTGTTACTTAATCAAGACGGTGAACACGTTGCGATTTTTTTTGTAAATATATACGCGTTAGCTAGCACTGACGGAGCGGTGACGAGAGCGATTTGACGAGCTTACAGGATAGCTTTTAAATCGTGATTAACAACTTCCGGCAGAAGCTGGATCACCGTGCCAAACATATTGACGGACACCTTGTTGAGAACAACATCCTACAACTTCTTGTCGTCGTCTGTGCCGTCACTACACTTTCGAGTCATGAATCTCCTTCTGAGATGTTACGCGCAAAAATTACAACTTTTGCTCCATCAACACATTGCCTTCAGACATTGTATGCCTCGTGATACAAAATACATACGCTAGCAGTCCGGGTAGCACTGACGGAGAACTGAGTTTCGTAGAATCCTGAATGACACACATTGCGACGGAAGTCATCATTTATTCATGACGACTTCTCCAAGAAGACTCAGATGCGTAAACCTCCTCTCACCGGTGCACAAATTGATCGTATCAGCGCCCAAATGGTGGGCACAATCAACTTGTTTATTGTAGCCTGATCCCAACGACGAGAAAGCAAGGCGATGATGAAGACCGTGGCTTGTATGATCGTCGATACTCGAGAGCTGCGTTTACTTGACGTCTATTCGGGGATCTATTTGTATGTCAAAGATCGCGCTGCTGTGAGGGCACATAGCAAGGGAAGACCTTGCTGCTTGCTGCTTACAACCTAAAACACGTCAATTTTTGACGGGAAGTGAAACAGATGCAGACATCCGATAGTTTCGAGAGTATTCATTGATTGATGTGTGAGCTTGATCAGTCCCAAACCAAACAAGAACAGCTTTAACAACGTCGGACGGCGTAGGCAGATTCGTATTCAAGGAGTTGCTGAACGATGAAGATAGTGCGGTGTCTGCGCGCGTAGAGGTGATGAGGCTGCGCACGAAGAGGTGGAGAGGCTGCGCACGAAGAGGTGGAGAGGCTGCGCACGAAGAGGTGGATAGGCTGCGCATCAACCTAAATTTAATCAGATAGATAGTTTGCTGGAAAACTAAACGGTACATGCTAAGCGGGGGAGACGGATCGCGACTACAGTACACAACCGGTAGCAAAGTTTGCGCCAGAATGAGAAGATTGATGCGTAGCTTTCTCCTGGTTGTTACTGTGGCTGTACTGCGAGCTTGTAAAGAAGGTGGGGGATTCTCGCGTCGCTGGAAAAAAACGAGCTCCAAATGGCCTTGCACAACAAAAGAAATACTTGTAGGAGGGAGACGTCAATGATGCGCGTGTGCGATGCGAAAACCGAGTGTAAACGGAAGCTCGTAGGCCAATGATCTCCGCTCTCGGATTAAGTAGTTAGAGCAGCTATACAAGAAAGAGAGGACATCCGCGGGATACCGCTTTCTTTTGGGGGGAGAACCACTGACATTAGAATTTTTGGGCTACGCTGACGATACGGCGGTTATCTTCGCGATCGGTCTGCGGTTTTTCCTGTTGTTTCGATTCTCGAAGACTTTGCAGCTGTTTCCGGCCTGCTGACGAATCGAGCGAAGTCTATGATCATTGAGCTAGACCCTTGTAACGGGGTGAGCCCGGTACATAATATTGACACTTATATGAAGTGTCAATAAAAATATTTTTATAATAATATTTGACAATATTATCTTTTCTTATGATATTGTTTTAGCATCTCCTTGAAGTTGGAGATACCCTATCATTGGTTGATATGGGCCATCATATCAATCAACGCGCTGACCAATGACCGATGGACGCGCGCAATGAGTGGAGGGCAAGTTGTCGACATACATAGTTGTAGTTTAATATAGTTAACATAGGTTATAACAGATTAGTTTTATTAAGATAGTTAACTATATTAAATACAGTTTTCTTTTCCTCTACTTCTAAGCGTTTGTGTAGAAGTAAAGCTTCCTCTGCCTCTTGTTTAAGAGAGGTAATTGAGGCACCTTCTTTCACTGTAATCAGTGAAAGTAGACTATACTGTAATTAGTATAGTCGGAGGGTGCCCCATTACAACTCGTGCGTGGTGTGACTGTTTAAGGAAATTCAAGACTGAGATATATTTAATTAATTATAACTAAATATATATTTAACTACTGATTGGCTATATATATATATATATATATATATATAGATCGGATACGCGACTCTTTAGAAGCGTATCCTGTCGCATGATCTTAAATCTAGATTTAAGATCGCAACTGACGTCCTTTTGAGACGCCGCGATGCCTAGCTTCAACTAGCGTCATCCCTTCTCATGTGAATCCATCAATGGATATTACATCCACGAGGGTGGATCACATTTGTGTATCGCACCCAAGTGACTGGTCAAAAGTAATCATGGACACTTTTAGACCGAACATTAAGTATATTACTTAATGTTTACGTGTAACTAGGTACCCTGTTACACCATCCCCCGTTTTAGAACGATGTTTACATTTTATAAAACATCGCCTAAGAGACAGAAAGACTGGCGAGCCGTTTATAAACGCGCCGCTTTAGTCTGCTCAGTACTTATGCCACCGAAACGTGGTAAGGCTGATGGGTCGCCTGCAAAGGCACCCATGCAGTCCAGCACTAAGCGCACGCGCCGCTATTTATCGCAGCCGTCGCAAAGTGCGTCAGGCACTGGGGTGGATCTTCCATCTCACGATAATGTGGATGAAGACCCATCTCTCATTGTTGACTACAATGAGACCGCACCACTGCCATCACCCCAAAGTGGCGATGAGCATAGTGCATTGATGGGACATATGTCCCCATCATTTGAGGCACCCTTCCTTGAGGAAGCATCTATGCTTCCTACAAGCGAAGGTAACGCCTCGTCGTCTGCGCCTACGAGCGCAGCGACTAAGACTGAGCACGCTACTTCGAAAGGAGTAGTCAGATGTAACTCCTCAAGCTGATGTCTTGACAATCCATAATGGAGAGTCAGACTCAGCTGAGTGTGAGCTTAAAGCTCCACCAAGTACACCTTCGGCCTCACTAGCCCGCCGTCGCGAGGGCGGCTACGTGAGTGGTGGCTTGCAACCAATGCCACCTCCATCTGAGTGGATGAACTCGGATGGGTCTAGCGCAGCGCTTTTGCAGCGTGCCACTATAGACGCTCATAGATTCTATAGCGTCTTTCCTTTGTGGAAAAAGCAGGGCAAAGCACTTGGTCGTGCTTTCCCAATTCCAGTCGTGCTGCGTTCTAACGAAACAGCCGACGACTATGAAGCTGAACTTCCGCGCCGTGTTACCTTGCAAGAAGATGCAACTAAACAGCGGTCGCAGCGAATCAGCTTCGCCATGAAGCGTGCACATGAAATTATGGGCGGTAAGCGACCCCCAATTAATTCTCGCCACGCTTCTTCTGCTAGTCCTTCCGGACCTAGCAGAAAGAAGACAGCTGGTGCTGCTTCACATAAGAAGTCACCAGCCCAGGCACGTCAACGCGCAAAGCGTCCACAGGCTCCCACGAGTCAAAGCTCGTTGGGTAACCCTTCCACTGGACAAGGATTTGGAGCTTTCGCTTCACAAACCGGTGGGCCAACAGCCTTCCAACAAGAAAGCGCGTATTCCCTTCAGTTTCCACCAGCACAGGTGGCGCCCGATAGGAGTGGCGATTACGCCCACCTACTCGCGGCTGCCTACCCTGCTGCTGTTCAGTCGCAGGCTAAGTCCGCTGCGCTAAAGAGGCAGGTGACAGATCTCGAGAGTCAAGTCTCGCGACTGACCTCGGATCTGCGCGATGTGAGGGCGAGAGACCGTCAGGGGTATGACCGCCTGAAGACCCGTTTGGACATCTTAGAGCGACTGGTGATGAGAGACCCGCGTCAAGCGCGGAGTCCTCCTCGATCACCGAGTCCTCTATCGCCTCGTTCATACAAGGGGAGACTCTCGGCCTCCTCGTCGCCTGATCGGCCGCGACGCTCGACTCACAGTCGGGGTCACCATCGGTCTCGTTAGACCGATGTGGATATGTGATCTCTTCTGGATCAACATACCGTTTCAGACGACCCACGAAAAATACAGGGTGCGTCTTCATATACGGTGGGAGAGTGAGCCTATAATTTAGGTCTCTAACTTCTTCAACCACTGTAAAGGGCCCAATGAATCGGGGCAATAGCTTAATAGTACCACCAGGTAGTACAGAAATTGCATGTTTAGGTAGGGTAGCAGTACTTAATAGCACTTTGTCCCCCCACTAAAGTGTTCATTGTTTTTGCGACCATGCTGGTCTGCATATTGTTTTTGCTTGTCCTGTGCGCTTGCCATCGCGTCACGGACTTTACGTGTGATGGCTAATCGCTCATCCACAAAGCGCTGAGCTTCGCTCACGCTTTTAGCATCCAGCTCGCCTATGACAACCCCAAGAGGTCGGTCATGGGTCGACGCTGTTGATAACACGATAGTTTCATCGTCTAGGAGCACTGGCATTTCTTGCTGTGCCTCCTTTGTGGCACCTATAGATGCCGTGACCACTCTTAAACTAGCAGTGTCACTAATGCAACTTTGTCCCTTTTTGGCATTCTCATCGAGTAAGGGTCCCTCCCCCACTGCTGCGCACAAACGAGACTGGCGTTCGAGGATGACGCAGTCCGTTAATGTAAAACGGTGTTTCACCCGTACTGGCGTGAACACTGTTATTAATAGCGAGCTCCACGAATGGCAATTGCTTGCTCCATTCTTTGGGGGT